CAACGCTTGCTAAACATTCGCTTTCATTTGTATACTTGCTTTTAGGTACACAATATTTTCTTGGGTAGTTCTGATTCAACAGTATTTTCAATTTACACGATATTTATAAATTAAATGGAACAAGATTTAATGAAGCAAAAAAATATTTCTTCCTTTTTGTTAATTTTTTAAAATTTGAAAACGGCTGCCTCGTGAGTAAATTAAAAAAAATAAACAGGATCTAAGTAGGTTTTCTGAAACAGGATATTGAGGAAAAGCTTCTCCAAAGAAAATGTTTCAAAATAGTTTGTTACCAACTGTTGTTTTGTTTTTTTTTAGAGACTGTATTTTTCAATTTTGTGCGTGTACATTTTTTTTGACTACATTATAATATTCTTTCATAAGATTCGGTCCTAAATTGCTGTTTTTCAGGGCGTTCATTCACACCTTTAAAATTATTTTGTATGCAGACGAAAGGTGGCTAATTCGCATTTTATAAGCAATTATTCCAATTGCTCATTCACTATTAATACTGTATTGTTCTCGATCAGTTTCTACCTAATACTTGTAAAAATAATTAATTATGTACGTATGTTAATGTTGACTATTAAAAGGACACGTAAGTGAGCCTCAATGACATCTTAATATAGAACAATTAAGCTAAATTAAATAAAGTTTACTACGAATTACGCCTGAAAAAGTTTGTCAGTGTAAGTACTGAAACGTGGCCTTGTAGAGACCACTTATTTTTTGGCCAAAAAGCAGATGCAAAAATTTTTCTGTACTCATTCGGAATCAAGAATCTGATCTTGTTTTTTTGTAACTTAATGTAAAAATCCCCTAATATTTTCCAAATATAATTACTTCATCCTATATGAGACAACGACTCAAAACTCTAATAATTACTAACGCTCTTGAATCTCCGGTTTTTATTAATAATTATAAAAGATTTTCAACAGAACATTATCAAGTATACCTCTGACAATTATTTAAACCTGTAATTAATGTACATATTTAAATTTTATGAAAGAATCTCGGCTATTCAGTTTTTACAAGATTGACAATGCATATGTTTTTTGTAATTGACCTGCGATGTGAAACGGTTAATTTTAGAAATTAGAATATGACTGTTCAATTAGGGTTTGCTTATTCAATCAATTTTTAGTTATGCAAGTTTAATCAAATTGTTCTCATCACCTTCAAACCAGGTTTTTGTGATGAACGGTTTACTTTGAGTTGGTTATTTTCAAAATGTTTATAAAAATATGTATATATTAATTTTCTCAATAGTGAAGTGTATTTTTCGATTGTATACAATAGGTTTTGTTTTGCAATCTAACATGAATATATCTTTACGCAAAGAGCCATTAAATTAATTAGTTACTCATCTTTAATACCATGTGCACATTTATTAAAGGTATATGAAGTAGGTACACTGTAAAATCATTTTCTGCAATTGTTAAACTGAAACACGCAGAACTAATTGTAACTTCAATTTCCGATGAAGAAACCAACAAATTTGATTGAAATTTGCGCAAGTTTCTTCAAACATAGTTATCGATATTCGTCAAACATTCAATTACTATTCGTACAAGGTCATAGAAACAAAGATCACAAGAGGTGTTTTTTGCATAATTATTATAAGATCTGGGTTATGGTGGAATAATCTAATTTACATACATATCGGCTGGTATTACCTAATAATCTAACACGATAAACTAGTTTGGACGTCATATAAAAGATGAATTACATTTTAGTTTTGAATTGTAATTTTTTTTGGCATTTAATGATCGATGGTTTGCAGGGGTATCTGAATTAATTGCCTCTCTATTTGTTTTTGGCAATTATTTGGGAGTAATTAGCTAATTTTTGTCTACAACTTTGCAACAGGTAGAAAATAAATATGCTAAAACTATTTAAGAGTAAAAATATATTACAATTTACAAAGTTTTGAGTATAAATTGAGGCAACTCTAGACACTGTTCTCCAAAACAGTGGGCACTTATTTGAATCAGTAGCTCAGGTTTTTCGGAAATAGATGTGGTAGATGTAGTAGATAGAGATGTAAATGGAGGAATAGATGTTGTAGCGTTTATTGTCTGAGGAACATTGCACAAAAGTTAATAATAATAAAATAATTCTTAGTAGGATATAAAATAATTTAAAATTGCTGTCAATCAAGCAATAATCAACTTTTATGGCTCCTGCATATTTTTTATTTTCCAATTTTTATTCATGTAATTACTTTTTATGTTATTACTGTTCTAATGTTAGAATTTGCCTTAAAGCAGCTTCCTTCCGAAATCGTATCTAGAAGCATGTCTTGTTGTAATTGTAATAATAGATTTAAACGGACAATCACGTTACAGTCATCAAAATTATGCAAAGACAAATTGCTAGATAAGAACAAATTATTTAGCAAGATCCGTGTGCGAACAATAAGAACTTTATCTCGCATCTTATGCTTCAAATCAAGTACGTGAGATATTTAATAAGTAGATTGTCGCAAAGACCTTTATACTTTTCTGAAAAAAGTTCGACCTTTAACCTACATACTTACATGACAAAAAGTGATATTTTCTGATTTATCATGCCTGATCAGAAAGCTGATGATATTGAAGAATTGGAAATTTGTATTTAATGTGCATGCTAGAAAGTGCATAAGTTTAGCAACAATGGTGCATGCACACAATAGTTAAATTAATAAATTCAATGCTAATGAAAACTGGGCTTGAGCAATACGATTACCTATATTTTTTGCTATTATGTCATAATTCATAGTATGCTTTTGCGTTATGAATGTTATGAAAATGCAATGTAATTTTCTTGAAAACTTTCCGATTTCACATCAGTACGGAAATAGTTGAGTTGAAATGATTTCGAAAACCTTAAGCTTAGTACAGCAATACGTACGTATAGTAAATGTTTCAGGCAATTGGTCTAATTTGCAAGCATTTGTAAGCATTAATCTGGTATCGTTATCATTTACTTGGTTCGAAAGTGTAATATGTGTGGAATTTGTATTTCACTCTATTGTAATTTTGTGATACAGCCTTCCTGATAACGAATGAATATCATTTGTATATTTCAAGTGTATTTTATATAGTAATTCCATTAAATAATTATCAATTTTCTGTAATTGGATGACTTACCTGTTAGAAATATCTGACTATTTACTTATTTCTTTATAAATGCATCCGACTTTATAAATTTGTCTTTTGATCCAAGAACACAAAATTCTCGTTTGCAATAGTGATTCACTCAGTGTTTTATTTATAGTGCCAGAGTTTTTTTGTCGATTTATTATTAATACTTTTGTTTTTTGCATTTTTCCATTTTTCTTCCTAATCTCTCTAAAAACTAGAGTTATGTTCAAAACACTAATTGAAATAATACTAGAATGTTCAATTGTTGCGGCTCAATAAATAAATTACATTTTAACTTTCTTTTTTGCTTTAGAATTCCGCGAATTATCTTCCCTGCTGCTCAGTTGCTTACAAACTTATTGCAATCTTCAGCAGTTAATAAGTTCAAAATGAATTACGTTTTATTGTTATTCAGGAACTGGTTGTGTCACATTTATATTTTGGATAGTAGATTTTTTCGAATGTTTTAAATTCAATTTATAGTAATTATTTTACTTAAATCAATTATTTTACAACACCTGGATATTTATATACCGATATTTATATGTGCTCTTATATCGATTTAAATTGTAAAAAAATCTGACGTTAATCATAACGTGATAACGACGAAATGTTAAGTTAATGCAGTACGAACCATGTCAAATAAACTTTTAAATATTGCGCCGTAATAGATAATTAAAAAGTAATAAAAAGGACATAAATGTAAAACATCTCCTCTATTTTATCGGTTTTATTGCATTATTTCAAGTTATTTCTGATTTTCAACATGAGAAATCTTCAAAAGAAGGTTATTATTGCCATCATTATTTTTATTGCAATTCGTAATGTTACCCAAACTAACTAGCTAGATTTGCTAATGTTTCTGTGATTACTTAAAGATTGATATTTGATTTGTATCAATTTTTCTGGTTGTTTGGATGTTCATTAGACTTCAATGCTGTTTAGTAAGCCAACACAAAGAATGTGCTTAAAATATATTTTATTTTTATTTATTCACATAAACAATACTTTGGTTTGAAATTACTCGGGTTACTTGCAATTAATTACGTTCCTATATCTTCCCAATAATTTGTTAAAAGCAAATTCGTTCGAATAGCCTTTAAAATCACCCGTCCTTTAAATTAACTTCTCGTCAACTTTTAAGCATTAATAATATAATCTTCTGATATAAAAAAAAATGGAAAGTTTAATTGATCAATCAGTTTCCGGAAAAGTTTGTTTCCTAAGCCCAGATATGAAAGTGTATTTGGTTATTGTTTGATAAGTTATCAGGGTTAATAAAATTCATTAAATATTAGTCACGCGCAAACTTATTCCTGTTGTACCGCTTTATTTCCTCGATTAAAAGTGTATTTCGACAATATTCCGCACTATTCTGCCACCGATTAATTAGCGTTCATTTAAGTTATTTTAAAATAGCAGGTACGGAATTTTCTTCTCTTAAGGATCGACTTTTATCTCTTTTTATCCGCATCTTGTACACTTTATTTTTGTTCTTCAAATATTGAACTGCACTAATCATTTAGAAAAATATTGCAATGCATTAATACAAGATTTTGTTGGCAAACATTCCATGGAATATTCATAGTAATAAACACTCTTTAATTTCGCAAATATTAATTATTTTAAATTACTAGCATTCCGGATTCAATTTATACTCTATGTACTCATGTTCGATAAAAAAATCAGTGCTTGAACTTTGATTGAAATGAGATGTTGAAACGGATCATTATTTTAAACGATATAACAGAAAAATTAATTGGCACATTGAATGGATTGCATAAATTCAGGTTCAAGATGTTCTGAACTTTATTTTTATTACTTATTATAAGTATTTTATTCTACCCTATATTAATCTAGCGTTTTTTGTTTCAGGATTAACATGCGGACTTACTACTCCAAAGAAGCAACTAAAAAGAAACACAATTCTATAAATGATAATTTTTACTTGAGGAAGGGAAACTAACACACAACAAGCAAATATTAGCAAAGCCTTCATTCGCTAACTGAATCTGCATCATCGAAAAACGGAATCAGACAAAAACAACTGCAATTAGTGAACCAACTGTGAGAACACAAGACTTTCAAAATGCCTTCAGTAGTCTCGAAATTCCTAGATAAAAGCGAAAAGGCTTTTTCCAAGAACCAATCGCTCTTATCAACAGCAGTAATAGGGACGGCTCTGGCAGCGTATGCCTACAAAATAGGATATCCTTTAGTCGAGAGCTTAATATTTAAGCCAAACAGGGAAAGCGATTCTTTAAACAATAATCTAGTCAAGCCTAATGGTATTAAAAGTGCAGCAAACGGGGAAGTGAAAAGTGCAACGAAGAAACCCAATGGAGTAGTGCAAACACATGGAGATCCGAAGACTAACTCGGCTATTTCTAAGCGGAACCGACTGATGACTGGTATACCAAATTTTAATTTGGCTTTTATACTGCAGTTCATCAAGTTGGTGAGTAGGGAAACGCAATGGTGAAAGATATAAATAATTTTTGCAAAACGGTTTATAAATTGATTGTTACTTTACTTGTATACTGTACCAAATTATTAAAAATATCACAATCTAACAACTGTAAACTCACCGGTTGGTATTATGACAATGAACAATTTATTACTATAATTACTATTCATATACTGCTTCTGAACCTTGGATGTCTGTTGAGATTGCAATATTGACCTGGGACATCGCTAAAGGCTAATTTGATTTTTTAATTTTGCTTTGCTTGCATGTTTTTTGGAATTATACTTGATAATTTACTGCAACTAGCAGCACTCAAAACACAGCCTGTTTACAAATCTTAAATGTTATGATACTGTTCATAAACTCTCTGTTATTTCATATTTCGAATATCTATTGATAAGGGCTCACTGAGAATATAATATAATAAATGTCCTTTCTTAAAAATACGAAAGGCGGGCTAGAAATATTTTCAGAAATGTTCCGTTTTGGAGATATACAAAGCAGAAATTTTGAAAATGAACTTGCTAGTCTGGAAGTTTTTTATTTTTGTGTAGTTACAGTGTCTGCAAAGCTTCATGTAGTTTGTCTATAACTGAAGCCTAACATCATACGAAATAACTTTTCCTTAACTGGGAGAGTTTAGCTTTGTTTTTAATTGCAATTAAACAAGTTTGTAATTTTCCTCTTGTTTGAGCAAAATAACATAGAAGCTTTATCGCCAAATGTTTCAAGAACGTAGGAAGCATAAATATGGTCTTACTTGCAGAAAGTCAGGATTTTTATTATTTTTGTAATTAATAATAATTGAGACATGAACTTTTTTGGTGATATATTAAACGATTTTCAAATTTTTGAGAAATATCTAAGATTGTCATAGTAATTACCATAAATTATATTAACAATTTATTTTAATTAATTTAGACAGTCTCATTTTTACTCTGTTAATTATATATTGCAATTGCTCCTTGAGGTATTATTTCCCTGTTTTCTATATAAGATTCGCAGCTTGTTATGCATGAAATTGTGTTTACAATGATATTAAGTATAGGAAATTTTTTTTATTCAACACATTTTATTAAACATTTAGTACTTTTGGTTACCATTGATGAAAAGCGCAAAGATAATTTCAAAGAAACCAGGACAAAGAAATAGCAAAATTTCCGATACTTAAAAAAATAAAATACGATATACCTACCAATAATATTTTATTGTAAAATTATTGTCATTAGCTCATTATCGCAAAAAGAGACAGTGTAAAATGATGATAATATTGAAATAAACGGTTTGTTGCAATTCAAGGTAAGTCACACTAGTTTCGATAACAAAAGTCGTATTTTTAGACTACATTTTTTACAATGCGCCGGTAAATTAATGGCGTGTGAATAAGTAATTTGAAAACATCATCTATTATCCTTAAATGCTGCATTAAGCATGAACAACAATTTTATCGAAAATAGTTTGAATAATATAAATTGAAAATTTAATGGACATATTGATGCCTGAATAATTTTTATTTAAATATGAATTGATCATATGTTTTATTGAAGAAAAATAAATAACCATTTATTAGGGCAATTTCGATAGAGCGTGGAAGAATTATTTATTTAATACAAATAGACAGTTTTACTTCAAAAAAAAATATTAATTTGCATTTTTAAAGTTTAAATAAAAAGTCTTAAAACCTAATTCATCTACTAGTAAAATGTTTTTACACAAGGGTTTTTATCTTTTGATAAAAATGAATGTCGACGATACGTACTTATTGTGATAGTGCATTGTCAAAGAAAGTAATAAAATTAGAAACAAATAAAAGAATAGTATATTAAAATGGTGAACAGTCAAACATAATATTTTTAGTACATAGTTGTCGAAAAACACTACAGTTTTCAACAGGTTTTAAACATTTGGGACGATTATTGGAAATGTAATAACTTTTCAACACTATCTTTGAATCAAACCAGTTATATGAAATTTTTTTAAATTGTTCATTGAAAATGTGACTTGAATGTGAAAGTAGACTCAACTTTTTTTCTAAACATTGTTTTTGCACTCACATGAAATGTATTTCTATCGATTGCCGATTGTCATCAACTGTTTTATCAAATGCATTGAACACCTAACATTTGTGTTTCTTTTATTAACAGGTGAGAATTATGATACCGAGCATTCTGTGTGCAGAAACGGCACTTTTAAGTGGCCATACGATATTTTTGTTCTTGCGAACTTTCCTGAGTATATATGTAGCCAATCTGGAAGGCGCTATAGTCAAATTCATAGTGAGAAAGGACCCCAACAACTTTGTAAAACAATTAATGAAGTGGTTTGCTGTAGCCGTGCCGGCTACATTTATAAATAGTATGATTAGGTAAGCCCGTTACATCGTAATAACCATTTAACACATTGTATCAACATTCATACTCCTGGTTATATAATTTTTTTTTCATTGCAAAAAGCTCTTTTTTGAGATTTTATGTTTTATTTCAAAGGTTGAAGTTTTTTGTGTTTTTAAACCCCAATATTTTCATTCTAATTGAGGAGACTATGCTAATTTAATTCGGAATTTTCCAGCAAAATGTTTTTGTAATGAATCATTTATTGAAAATTTATTATGGTCCACATGAAGCACTTGAATAATGAGCCGTAATTAATTGTTTTATTGCCCCTGTTTTTAACGCGATTTTTTTTCCCATTTTAAATTATATTTTTTCAAATTTCCCAGCCAATTAACTGAATTATTCAGTACCACCATTTTAATTTAATGACGCACTAACGAAATACGAAAAGCTAAACTATTTGGTAATACCTACTTAAAAAAATAAATGTCTATACTTTGTCTAAAATCAGTTTCCTTGTGCGTCATCACGTTTGGCCGCATAATGAACGTTCACCTTTCTGTACGTTTGCGCTGAAGACTTTGTTTTAAGGAGTTACGGATTATAAAGAATTCCAATCAATGTTTTTATCCTTCAGGCGGTAACCATTTTTTTTGTAGAAAGGATAATTAAGCTCAGTTACTTAATTGCAAAACACCTTACTTATGCTGCACAGGGTCTGATGGAGATAACGTTTTGTTTTTACTCAAGCATGAATGATTAGTACAAAAATAAAATTGTGGTGTTAAAATAATTTTTAAAAAATTAAAAATTTGTAGTTGCAGCTCGTATGGCTATTTGTCAAAACATCGTCCAACTATAGATAAAAGAATGCAAGAGTTTTGCAGATTAAAACAAGACTTTCAAGAACGACATAATTTCATATCTCCGAAACTATTTTTTGCGGACTCATATTATTCATAATTTTTTGGTTTAATTGGACACGCTCTGCATATGAGTTTTTCTATATTTTTCAAACTAGGTATAATTAAATCGGTTCTAATTCTCATCCCAAAAATACCTTGCTTTCCTGCGGGATTCAAGAGGAACTGGAATGACTTGAATGTTCTAGTCCGATATAAACATCTTCCAAAACCCTCCACTTTTACACGCTTATTTGCGGATTTATAAATGAATTAAGTCAATAATTGCAAATTTTGTTCCTACGCACTCTGCGGGGTTTAGAATGCGAACTGGAAGAGTTCTTCTGGTACGTGTTCTTGACACTCTAAACCGAGCCCATATGTTCTCTCAGAAACAAGACTTATTCAAAATGGGCTTATTTTGACTTTCTAGACATTTCTTTGAAATATTTCCATTTCCTCCTGAATAACCCTGAACAAACACATTTTCACCAAAAGCTCAATCACTGTGTTATCTTAATTATGAAAAAATATTTGATGATGGTTTATAAACTGAAACTAGCGTAATATAGCAAAGATTTTTACTACACTGGAAACTCACAACAATTTTAAATCAAATAAAGTCACGAAGAAAAGAATGTTTTAAATAAAATTGTTAAAGCTTCTAGTATATCAAAATAACTATTATATTTTATTTTATAGGCCAAACATACGTTTCCCATATCTAGAATTTTACTGATAATAATTTGAACAAATATTCCATAAACTTTTCTTGATTGCAGATATTTAGAGAGTCGAATAGCCTTAAGGTTTCGTACAAGATTGGTGGAACATTCTTACAAACTTTATTTTAAAAATCAAAGTTACTATAGAGTAACGGTGCTCGATGGCCGATTAGACAACTGTGCTCAGAGACTTACAGGTAAATGCTCTTTATGTATTATTATCAACATATCGGCAATTAGTTCCGCTGAGGATTTTTAATATGGTAAAAAATGTTGCAGATGATATAGAAACAGTCGCAAGCACGGTTTCTCATCTATATGGACAAATTACGAAGCCATGTTTCGACATACTACTTATGGCCATAGCATTAGCAAATTTAGTCAAGTCTAGAAATTCGAATCTGCTAATTGGACCGGTTATAATTAGTGGGGTAGTTGTGGTGTCAGCCTTAGTTTTGAGGTAAGGTTAAAAGTTCTCCAAAGAAACACAAGAACAATTTTCGCACTGAACATCAGTTTGTTCTAAAGCGATTTGACTTGATCAGAGATTTTTTTAACAGTATCTTAAACATTCTTTATTATGAAAAGTACTAAATAAATGTGATAGATTCAATGGGAAAATTTTTAAGTGTTTAATTAAACCCATAAGAAAACTTGTTTCAATACTGGTAAAATTGCTTTAAATTACAGTATTAAACAATTTTCCTCGTCCCATAACGATTATTTTTTTATAGACTAGTCTCTCCCCGATTTGGTCAGCTTGTAGCTCAAGAAGCCGAAAAGAAAGGATACTTGCGGCATGTACATGGACGCATTGTATCCAATGCAGAAGAAATTGCCTTCTACAATGGTCACAAGGTGGAACAGAGCCATTTGCGTAGCGCTTTTAGGATTCTTACCCAACATTTAGAGCACATGTTTGCAGTCAAATTGTGGTTTGTTATGTTGGAGCAGTTTTTGATGAAATACGTTTGGTCTGGAACTGGTAAGCTATTAAAAAATGAATGCTGCAACCATATAATATTCGTCTTCTGATCGTCACTAGTTTACTAATAAAAGTCTTTTTGCAGGTATGATTGTAGTTTCTCTACCTGTTTTCCTTCCCCAAGTCATTAGGCAGGTTCGACCAAAAAAAACAATTTCTTTCACATCGCCTAAACAAATTACTGCTAGTCAAGCCGAGCCATCAACTTCGCAGAATAGTGAAATCTCTGAACCTGAAGACTCAGTTTCAGAAAGAACTCACTACTTTACTACTGCAAAGAATTTACTTCTGACCGGATCTAACGCTGTCGAAAGACTTATGAGCAGCTATAAAGGTAAGCTACCATCGAAAAAGGAGCTGAATTGAAAGCATTTAACTGTTGTTTTGGTAAATATTTTCAGACATCGTTGAATTAGCCGGACATACAGCTCGCGTTGCGAATATGTTTTCCGTTTTGGAGGAAGCCAGCAATGGCATTTATCACAAAACAGTAGTCGCAAAGAAAGAAACAATTGGAGACTTTGAGGTTGAATTTAACGGCGACCAACCTGTGGCTAAAGGTACCTAATTAAGATCAAGTTCAAACAAGTTACTGTTGGGTAAAAATTGTCTTATTTCCAACTAGTTTCCGGAATATTGTATAAGTTTTTATTATTATCAATACATTTTCTAGGTAAAGTTTTTGCCGCAACTCACAACGAGATTATTTTGAAGAATGTACCAATAGTAACTCCCAACTGTGATGTCGTATGTCCCTCTTTGAGTGTGAATCTCAAATCCGGTCAACATTTACTTATAACAGGTAGGATATTTGGGATTTTATGGTAATTGTATGATTTATTGCTTTCAAACGACTAATTTTTTAATGTTTTCCAGGACCAAATGGCTGTGGTAAATCCAGTTTGTTCCGAATTTTAAGCGGTTTGTGGCCTGTTTACGGTGGTGAACTAACCACCCCTAGAAACTCAATGTTTTATATTCCTCAAAGGCCTTACATGGTTATAGGTAAGTGCTAGATACCAGTTTTCTTAGAGAGACAATAGAATAATAGTACGGATTTCTATGTAGTTTATTTCATAATTTTTTACTTTAACTTCTGGATGAAACCGGACCATGGTACCGTACAAAAATTGGCTGAATTTAAGTGTAAATATTTGAAACGGTATTTTTTCTTCTTTATTCATAGAGTTTTTTGCGCTATGAAAAATAATTTAACTCGTTTTACAAACCCGAGCATCCTCAGAGGTGTTTCGCCCCCCATGTAAGCTTTAATGTGAATCACCTCTGAGTATAGAAGCCACTTTTGCTTGCGAAACACGAGGAAGAAATAAATTTCCACGCCCATATAAAAGCTCGGAAAACCCAACACTATTAATTGTAAAAAGAAATGGTTTAATTTTAGGCAATTTGCGGGATCAAATAATTTACCCAGACACATACGCCGATATGATTAACAAACAAATAACTGAAACGGACTTGAGGAAAATCATGCAGATGGTACATCTGGAACATATTCTTGAAAGAGATACGTTCCACGAAATTAAAGACTGGACTGATATATTGTCGGGAGGGGAGAAGCAAAGAATGGCGGTGGCCAGGCTGTTCTATCACAAGTACGTTTAAAGGTTTCTTTATTGCAGACCTTCATCAATTATAAATTCTTAACTTTCTGGGGTGTCCCATACTTGATGAGCATCATTATCGATGTTGATATTTGCTGTGTTTTGTAGGCCTAAATACGCACTCTTAGATGAATGCACATCAGCAGTTTCCATCGATGTGGAAAGTAACATATATCAAACAGCAATAGATATGGGAATTACTCTGCTCACCATAACCCACAGACCAACGTTATGGTAAGTTTTCATTATCGTTTTTTTCTTGATCCCCTGGTACGTACGTTCTGTTTTCGATGGCGAAAGCATCACTTTTACCCATTACAAATTTTTTTCATCCCGTGTGGAAAGTAATAACTTTGGCCACGCACTCCAGACAGATTGACACCCTCGGCTTCGTCTCGGGTGTCAAAGGCAGTCGTCAATCGAAAAAGGACACTTTTCGCCCTTGTATCTAAAACTACTATTATTCAGTTTCATTGTTTTGTGTTGTAATATACTTGTTTTACTTGAAAATTATTCATCATTCTGTTGTGGTTTTAGGAAATTTCATACTCATATTCTTCAATTCGACGGTCAAGGCTATTGGGAATTCTCTGAATTAAACTGTACAAGTCGCATGGATTTGAAAAAAGAAAAAGATGAACTGCTACTGAAACCAAACAGTGACGAAAAGACTCAGAGGCTTAAAGAAATCAATAAAGAGTTAGGCGAAGACGACGTCTAGAAGACCTATGGGCACATTGCAAAAAGGCAATTTTCTTTGTTGTGGTGATATGTAGATAGTTAAAATAATTAGTGCAAAAGTTTCCAAAGGAGGATAAGAACCTGGGTGGATAACTTATCGAATATCCGAATGCATTAACAGTTGAGCATAACGACATGCAAGTAAGTACTTACCAGTAGCGTACCCAGTTCTTATGCTGGTATTCTGGAACTACTCAATTGACTTGCCATGGTGTGAACTGTGTATGTATTCTATTTATGATTTTTTACTTAACTAGCCTATAGTTTTCCTACGTGATGATCAAGCATCACTATGTTTTTGTGATTTCGTATACATAAAATTCTAATATATTTTGTGCCCAGTGCAATTAATGTTTAGTTAACGTAAGAACGAACAAATGAGATGAAAAAATAAATATTTGTTTTACTATGCCTTATGCCTAAGTGTTTCAATTCATCTTACACCAAATTTCACCATATTGTAGAAAAAGCATCAGGTAAGCACATTCTGTTATACAAATTTCGGAGATATTCAACTCGCATATACTTATTTTTGCGACATATACAGTTGTAGGCTAAGAAAAATAAATACACTTTGTTGTTATTCTTTAGCCTTTATTTTCGAATAAAACAAATACAGACATGTATGGTAAATAAAATTATTTACACTTAGTAAACCATGAGTAAGGTTGCATAGTAAATAGATAAATGCACTACAATTCAGACCTCAAAATATCAGTCTTGAATGTTAAGAAAATTTTAAACTACTACAAATATCGTAAAACTTATTAGTATTTTTCATCATAAAGTATATGATTAAAACTATTAAATGCACTGCCAGTGTACGAATATATATGCTTAAACTTTGAAAATATTGTACTCAATATAAATACATAATACATCATTCGAAAATAGATAATACGATAAATAAAATAAAATCATAACAACTTTGTACTTAAGTAACTTTTAAATCTGACGAGAGTTATTACTAATGTATAACGTTTTTATTGCCGTGTTATATTATCACAAAGGTTGATTTTTATGCGTCATCCTTGCAGTGGAACGTGTAGTCAATAAAAACGTTACAAAAAAGACAATACAACCCGTTTGCATTTCTGGTTCATCTTTTATTTCGATTATGTTTAATGCTTAATGCAACGACAATCTTTGAAATACGAAGGCGCAAATGTGCTTGTAAGATCTAAAAGAGTGATTCTATAATATTCGATAAAATTGCGTAGGAGCTAGTTACTCTATCGCGTGTCCGTTTATTTCAATTTTTAACTAATAATCACCAAAGTAACATAATGTAAAACCAAACCCTGTATGATATTATCTAAAAATTAAAACTACTTATATCGACATTAAATATCACAAATTGTGATTATTTTCTTCACACAATTCACAGTCAGTTTACTACGACTAATATAGGTAGAGGCTGTTTGTAGAAATGGGTATTTATCATTGGATTTTAATTCAACCATTTTTAATATCGGTGCTTATCAAGCATTGAAAATATATTTTCTTTGGGTAAAGAAACATAAATGGAATCTTCTGGAACAGGAAATCAACTGAACTTCTTGAATAAAATTCTGCTGGCCGTTGTTCTCCATCTTTGTTTATTAATGGCCCTATCGAAGGGTCGAAGTAAACAAATGGAGAATATCTATGTTAAATATTAGATCTAGAGAAAGTAATTATAACTGATATATGATGCATGATTCCAGTTATATTTGCAAAGTATAAAGCATGTAAAATGTACTTTTTTACTGAAACAACAAACGGACTATTGCCAGCAACGCGTGTACAAAAACAAAATATTAATTTCCAGTATATTTTGAAATGTAAATTGCACTGGTACCCAAAGGTTTGCAAAATTGCGAATGTTAATCCTAGGAAAATCCATGTCCTCAAATAGATTTTGCGAAATCCGTTATTTAAAAATGTTGAGGACATATTGATTTGATATTGAGTACACGCTTGCCATCTCTATCTCACCCAAGAAGGCTCCGTTATGACTTCGATTTCAGGATTGTGCGAATTAACTTACTCTGAAGACAACCATTCCACCTTTCTCTTGATTTGAAGGTTGCATGATAGACGTTCTTTGAGTTTCAAGTATCCAGTCAGTCTTGAGCAACCATAATCCTTTCAGACCAAAAAACATATTAGTATGATAAATTTTTTTAAATGTTAAAACTCTTACCCAATATCCAAAGGGAATTTCCGAAGTATCTGCATTGATAAAAGCCCAAAGCGACCAGAAGAAGTTCGTGGCTAGAGTGAAAACTTCGACTTCTTTGAGCAGTTTTTTGGGTTGTTCCCGAGATCCTTTTTCGTTCAGATAAGCTCTGTTAACAAAAGTAGGATTAAATAAGTAATTTAAAACTAGGTCGTTGATCATTTTGATAAAAGAAGAAAAGTAACAAAGATCCTTTAAAATTTTTATTCTCAAGAAAATTGTATCAAAAGTTGCTTCAAAAACAACTTCTGCGAAATATATTGTAGTTGACACTAGATATAAAATAATATAGTATATAATAATAATATTATATTATATAATAATTATATAATATAATAATAATAATATTATATTATATAATAATATATAAAGTAATCGCATTGAGTGGTGGAAAGTACAGGTTTCGCGGTCGCTAATTTCAGGCTAAACCCAGCTGCCGAGAGCTAATAGGCTCGAAACCGGTCCTGGGGGTGCCTGAGGTTGGCAAATCTCGAGATTTGCATGCATCTTACATGATTTCTGATACACTCATTAATTGCCGACTAAATTCATGTATTTACTAAATATATTACCTGATGAAAAGAAGTCGTTGTAGCTCGGTTGGGTAATTAGAATAATCTTCTTTGTAGTAAGGATAGTTATCTTCTTTGTAATCGTACACCCACTCGATGAAGTGATTTGCAATGTCAAAACCTCGATAATTATAAGAACAATATTCGAAATCTGAAAAATAATTTAATTAGTTACATATTTATAAACAAAATGTTTGAAAGCCTGGTTTCTTTATATAATTTTGCACTTTTCTTTACTAATTTGATAAAACTGGTTTGTTATTTTTTGCAAGCTTTATAAGATTAAATGGAGAATCTACTAATATCGACTTACCGATAATCATTAACTGAGATTCTTCTGGGTTATTTTCTTTATCATGATCCATATTCAGCAGAATATTTCCTTCTTGCATATCATTGTGACAAAATACAACTGGGCTTTTCTCTTGTTCCATTCTGTAAAAAAATTACAATGTTTAAAAATGAGCTATGAGCTCAAAAATCAGTTAGAATAACACCTCAGTATCAAATATCCAAATAAAAAAAAGGTTACCTATTTTAAACTCGAGACTAAAAAATATGAAAGTTTTGAGTGATGGTTTTTTTAACATTTTTATCTAATTAATTAATATTATCATTTAAAACCATGTAGTAAATTGTGTACTTAATCATTATATGGGGAGTTCGACAGTTTATCTATAAATCGGAACAAACAAAAAACACTTGAATATGATTTAATCCATGAAAGATCATTGATTGCTTAAAAAATTGGCCTGTCTAGTCAGTTTTCAATAAGAAGATTATAAACTTTAATAACGCGATTACATGCTTCTGACTTTTTTATCTAATTTTATCTTAATCGTTTGCCAAATAGGGTGATTCCTAAATTGATACTTTTTGAAATGGAAGAAAAAACAAACATTTTAAAAACGATCTGACTATACTTTAAAACAAAACCTTTTCATCCTGGCTCCTACACGAATTTGAAACAAGTCGTCTTTATGTTTATTGTTATGCCTATGTGCCTTATGCAATATTGAAATATACATATTTGATTTGGTTTGATTTTTGCACCTTTTAGTTAAACAGAATTATGGACTTTTGCGCAAAAAAATTATGAAATTTTAAGGTTTAAAAAAATGTATTAGAAACTGTTCGTTCAAATGATCACCCTGGATATATGCAGCGTGTTAAATATCATATTTTTATACAGGCTTATTTAGCATTTGTATATAAATTAAATAAAACGAACGGAAATGTAAAATTTACCGTTGAACTGAATAAATAGATTTTATTTAAATTGCAATAAAGTCCATTCCGAAATAAAATTACCCTGGAAAGCACACATATTTGCTACATTTAAAATATAATATCACAACGCATGTGATTACTTCCAACTCAAAAATATTATTTTCCAAAATTCAAAAACTCAATATTTATTGAATAATAATGGCAATAATAATGATAATAATAACAAACATTTAAGAAATTGATAAGAACTCTCGAAGTCTTGTTAAACAAAAATCTGGCAATATTTTGTTTAAAAGATAACTGTGTTAAGAGCTACTTCGCACGCAATTTCTTACTCGGTCTTCAATTGGTCCATTTAAATATAATTAAAGATTTAACACTTAATTACTGCACTATGTGACAATAAACAAACACGCAATAAATTAAAGAAATTGGGTTAAAAACTTTTGATGAGAATTAATTTTTATTATGACGGTAAAAAAACTTCGGAATATTTCTATTTACCAAAAGATACCATGTGCAGTCCAAATCCTAAAATTATTAAACTAAGTAACAATAAACCTTTAACTTCAAATATAAAAGTTTAACATTAACGATGAAGATAACAAATTACCTTTGTCGCAGCCATTTAGATTCCGCTCGAAGATCGACATTATCCAACAGTTCTCGCACTTTCTTAGGAAGGTTATTACTCTTCAGCTTTGTATCACAAGTTAGCAGCCACCGAGCAATGGTACCCCACAACCATGTTGGCTCTTTATGTAAAGGCACCTGAAAGAGTTAACATCTACTTTAATACCAATTTGTACATAGAAAAAATACTAAATATTTCACTATATAACGTAATTGAAGGAGCAAGCAAGAAAATCAACAAGAAATAGTCATTAATAAAGTGAATTAATACATATGGTAAGTTTTGAAAAGAACACATCCAGTCTGATGAACAATTTTGCTTGACAAAAATCGATTTAATCGATTTAATTTACAGGACTAGAGATTGGATGATGTCGTTATGAGCCGCCACAAGTGTTGAATTGAAAGAACAGCAGAAGGTTTCTTTTCTTAATTTAGTTTCAGTTTTGAGAAATCAGTTTTGCCGTGAATTGAAATTGAGTTTTTTGTAATCATTTGGCTTATAAACAATTACATTGCATAATTACATTTACATTTGTAAAAACTACAAAAAGATGAGAACACACATTTTATTGATATTTTTGTTTTTGTGCCCTAAACATCTGTAACTTAGAATGAATTAAAGTCAATTGATGATTAATGTGGGTCATTAACATTTTATGATGCTTAATTACGTGAGTTTGATAAAAGTAAGTAATCACTGGGCTTTGCTTTCATTCATTTCAATATGAACAAGCTTATTTGGTTATTTTCGAACATGCTTTAACTTTGCAATTTTGCAATTCTAAATGCTTTTCAAGAGCAAAAAATGTATATATTTAATTTTTGGTTGGTTTTTTCAAAGTGAAGAAGTTTTAATTTTCCATCAAAATAAAATAGGAATTGATGCAATCTTTGGCGAGCATTCGCAAAGAACCGTATTTAATAATACATATCAATTTTAGTGGTGCCACTTTTAATCAGGCGACTATTTCATAAGAATAATGCAAATAATTGTTGTGTGCCTGATAAAGAACAATGGATGGGTATTAGAGTTTTAAGAACTAATTTAAACACGTTTGCGAATCTTGTGACTTTCAAGTAAACTTTGATCGTTGGACTACATTAAATTATTATTAAGACATGCAATAAAAATAGCGGCAAACGTCTTTCACGCCGATGGAACAAAAATTAGACGATAAATACATAAAGAGCCAATGTATTATTTAAGAACTGTTGAACACATTTTGTTACACTGAACTTTATTCGCTATAAATAAGTGCCACGTGTGTCCCGATTCCAACTTTGTTTTGATATAAGTTACGTTACAATAAGTTAATTCCGGATGAAAATTACTTTGAAAATCAACCATAATGGCAAAATAATTGCCGATGTTGAAACGGTCACAACACGTAACCGCCTAATAATTATCTTACTGAAATATGTGATTACTTCCAGCAAAAAATTGTTTTTCTGAAGTAAAAAAGCTCAGTAACCCACAGATGACTAACGTCTCAAAACTGAAGATCAATTTGAATGATTTCACTGTACTGATTGATGAAATTAGCAAAAATTATGATTTTTCCTACTGCTTGAGCACAGGTCCGTACTCAGCCATGGGAAGGGATTCATTGAGCCCCACATTTCTGGCGCTCCATACCTCTGATGGGAATGAGCTGTAGATAAGCTGATGATTAGCTGGAACAAATAATAACAGCATACCCCATATGTGTGATAGTCGAATGAACTAAGTGTTAGACGGCGCTTGTTTTGTACTTAGCCACAGGGATATCAATGTAGGGCTTAATGTCCAAACATTACTAATAACTATCAACAACCTTAAAAAAACAATTATTAATTAGAAGTTGGATATGAAGGATGGAAGCCTAACCAGCTTTAACCAGATATAATGAATTGTTTATTTTAGATTGTACTTTTTACAGGAAAACTAATCTATCTGTTTATGTGTTCCCAATTACAGTAAGGACATCTCACTAATGTGAGAAAAACACAATTTATTTACACAATATCGTTCTTTGAATTAATTGCTTGGGTGCTATTATTCAGTAAGCACTGTTATAATGTTTTAATTTGAAAAACAAACAATGAATCAAATAGCCAAGGTTTAAAAGATAATTTGCTTTGCATAAGCAAACAGATCTAGGACTATTGAATCAATATCGAACTTTGTTTAAGTGTGTTTATGGATAATTGATACATCGCTAACTAGACTAGACTGATAATAATTAGTAAAGTTCATTGTAAACTGATGGATGATATTTCATCTGGTAATAGTTCTATCTATATCTGGTTATAGTTCTATAGCTTCAGTCAATTGATTTAGTATATTTTTTCGGTGTGAAAAACAGTCCTAATTAACTACGTACACAGTACCAAAAGCTTTTTGTTCAGCAAATTGAATTAACTCTGAATAAATCCCCCGAACACGATAACACATTATCCATTTTTTTTTCTGTTTCAAGCCTTGTTTTGTGCCATCTAGTTAAAGACTCGTATTGTATTATATTCCCAATCATTGCATTTTTAGCAAAAATTCAGCACACGTGTAATAATGAGTTTAGGACTAAAAAAATACAATAAACTACAAATATTGATTCAGAAATTATATCAATGTGGCGCAAAATATCTGTTGGATCATCCAATGAGATACGTATATCAGTTTACGCAAGTTTTATTTACAAAATAATTAACAAATCAGTAGCAAACATTTTTTTTAACACATTGACGGGACCCGAACAACAATATAACAAAGAGTTTAATTTACTTTTGGATTTAGACCAATTTAAGTGTGTACTAAGTGAAATCCAACTTTTCACGTTATAATTTTTAAATAATATAAATAGTGATTTGCTAAACCGGATATTCTGCGTATTGAATGATTGCACTTAACAGGATTTTGGTTTTAACTGAGATATTAATTATGGAGCTAAAATGTTTATTATTCTCTGTTTGCTGGACACATTAGATACAAATGCGTGATATATTTACTTGGGTACGAGATATACATACCATATGTATATTATCTATGTATATGTGTTTGGTTGTGCTTAACATCTATATTTACTCGTTACGACAAACTTACAGGGAATTTCGGATATCATAGTAAGCTGTAAATATTTGTTTCAGTTTTGGGATTTAAACCTCCATTTGGATAATACCTAGTCGAATGGCAAAACATTTATTCGAAAGAATTATTGTTTTTTAAAATTTGAAATTAACAGATCAAATGTTATTGTAATATAAAATTTTCCCTACATTTAGTTATAAAACATTTTTTTCACCATTATTTGCACTCTTTTTTGGACCTTTGTACAGCTTAATGTTCTATTAGATGTTTTCAGTTTTCAGTACTTTTTGGTCAACTTCTGAAATTTTGAGATTACATTTTTTGCACAGATACTCGAATCAAAAACAAAACGGAGAGACGCATTGAAATAATTGAAAACACCCTGTATATAGCACATGTCTTCAGATGATATAGTTTGGCCAAATTCAATAATTCGTTGCAAAACTGTTTGTTTGTTCAAAAAATACAATTCAAGTTGAGAAAAACTAGTTTCTTAATTACGAAGTGAAGGTTCTTTGAGAACATCTACTTACTTCTTCAGAAAAGTACGAAACTGGTTTGTATTGTTATTGGTAAAAAACTGAAATACATATACGAAAAAACAAAGTATTTTTTCACGACGACATGAAAGCTCGAGAAACTAAACAGTTTAAATAATTATTATGTTACTTGAACCGTCCAATTATAAAATTTAATCTAAATTGGTAATTGGCTTTTAGTCAGCTACCGGGTGATTTCTATAAATGGACACCTATATTTACCTATTTATTTATAATTTTAGAAAAAAGTACATATTTAGTATAAACAGTATATTGCTTGATCATAAGATCACATGTTTAGATGAAAACGTTTATGTCTAATAATAATAATAATAATAATAGAAAAATTGCGAAAACTTGCATTTTACTTTGGTCATTTTAGATCATTTTAAAAGTTTTAGTCAGATTAAAAATTAAACTAAGTGCGCAAATTTTAGTTTGATAAAAAACCGACATACATACTTATTTTCTGCCCAGAACTAAAAATACAATTTTAAAGTGGAAAATTTATTATTTATATTGACTATAAGCATTAGTTTTTTTTTGTAACCTTAGGCGATTATAAACTCTTCTTCAAATTCTGAATTGCTTGATTTTTTTTCAATTTTTATGGCTGTAGTTGCGTGTTTACTATATTATGGGTAATTATCAGTTGTTAAGAGATTTAACTGTTCTTTAACCTCCATAATATTGATTGAGATATTCTCATATATCCGTGTATATTTCACTATTTGACCCGATAAACGTGATACTATCACTAGCCGCCAACAGTAAACACTAAAACTTTCCGATGTCCTAAATTAATTTTATTTATAAAATGTACAGTGATAAATTGAAGCGACAATGTTATAAATAAACCAAATGTTGTGCAACGAGGAGGTTAATAATCGGTGACGTTTGAAAAACGAAAAATGTATGCGATTGTGCACTTTTGCAGTCCAAGATTTATTCACAGTGTATTTGATGAAAATTGTAGTTGCCAAAATAACTATTGCTACGACGGAATAATATACTAAATATTTACCTACTAAATGAGATTTTAATTAGGAAAACATTCTCTATTCGGGGTAGTTTTTTGGATCAGTTTTCTATTTGAAGACATATAAAAATTGGCTCTTTTACACGCGAAATTAAATTATTTATATGGGAACGTACACGCAACTACAAGCAGTTATTTGTAGATTTGAAAGATTTTGCGATTCTACGAAAATCAGTATGCAGTTTGAGAAATTATTTAGAATTGGAGATATTAGAATAGCAATTTTCAAAAGTTGATAATTTCTGGAAAACATTCAGTACATTTAGTGGTTTTGGTAGAAAATCGATAAAAATATCTACTAATAATAGGACTGCTTGAAGAATAATTCTTCTTTTTTCTTTTACTTCTTCCAGACATTAAACTAATTAATTTTTGCATTTTTTTAGAAAATAATTAAACAAATGGCCGCCATGATTTTCTGCGCTTATGCTTAACCGTTTCCGAAACATTGGCGCTTAACTTGAAAAACAAAATTTATTTTATTATTATATTACTAACTATGTCTTTATACATATACTTTAAGTTTGTTTAATTAGTAAAAAATGCAAATTTCGAAGCTATGAACAAATGTGTTGATTAAAACATAGGATAATAAACAACTATTACAAACTGAATAAATAACAAACAAAAATGGTTGTTCTTGTGGTTGTGGAAGTTTAAATATCCCAAAGCGATTGATGGGTAAGTATATGCGATTATAAATATAATGCGTTTTAGTGATTAAATATTTATATGAAATAACAGTGCATATGCACCTTATTGATTGATTGCAGAAAAAATGTATTCGAAAAAGTAATATTTTTGCATTACAACGTATTGTTGTGACTCCATAGGACATTCTCATTTATCATTTACTTGCTATTTTTGTTTCAAATGACGCTTTAATTTCAGGCCAATTTCGAAATTCGACGTATAGTTCGTCAGAATCGTGAGAATGACGTAACTTTATCCAAATCAAAGGAATTTTTTATTGAAGCGTCTAATATCTGAAGCTATAATACATCTATGAACTTATCGCATATTTCACAATACCGCTTTTATAATTTATGAAACATCGGAATCTACCAATGTATTGCTTCACATCGTATAAATGATCTAGAAGTTCTACATACAGGGTGGCCATGTTCAGAGTTCTTATACATTTTTCTAAATAGTTTGTTAAATGAACAAGACTTGGCGAACAGTGAAACTATTGGTTTTTGCAGTTTTTAAAAACTGCAGGAGAACTGTTTTTTCATGGTTTCACAACTAATGTGCTAATGTGAATAAATTGAAGAAACATGGACGCGAAAGAACAATTTGTAAGCCTAAAAATATTGAGAGAGTAATTATTCTGTTCACGGTTAGTCCCATTTAGCTTTATTCTAGAAATAACAAAGGAAGCGCAGATCGCACTCTTCACAGGGACTTCACATTTGATCCTTCCAAATACTAAATGGAGAAACATATTACTTATTTATTAGTTTTTGACCATAATTTTAATGAGTGCAAAAACACATTTCTCTCTCAACCGCGTGGTTAATAAATAGAATGTTAGGAATTAGTCAAACGAAAATTATCAAGAAATCATTACAAGCTATCTCCATAATAAAAATTTTCTGTTTAACGTGCGGTAGGATATTTTTGCATTATTAGTCCATATTTTTTCTGAAGGTGGAAATAACAGTGAGGTCCGACCGTTTCCTAAAGAAGCTAGAAACCTTTTTTAAAGCCTGATTTAGAAAGAACGAAATTACCGAATAATAAGTTCAACGTTCACGATTCTGGAACCTAATTTCGACCCCTGAGCGCACCAGACCTTTTCTGCGAGGCCTTTAAGGTAGAAAATGTTTCTAATTCTTCTAGAAAATATCGAAAAACGCATAAACCCGGGGAATAAATCAGGTTTTATTTCAGTCAGTTAAAAGGCGAAATTTTTGAAGAATTTGGAGTAAGTCAAAAGCTCCAGTAAATCCCCAAAAATTATAAAAAAACGTTCGCAATTTAAACTTTTTAAAGACAATTTTATTGAACTATTAAAATAGGTAACTCTGTGATGAGTAATCCCGCATTCCCAACTTTGCCATAATTTCAAACAAAATTTAAAAATGTATGCATGAGCTCGAATACGGGTCACCCTGTATATAAAATGGATGTATTGCATAAAAATTATTCGAAATAATTTAAATCTTTCAGCCGTTAAACGTGAAACCAATTTAAGATGATATTTATAACATCAACACAGTGAGTAAGACGGAAAATTTCCGTATATTTCTGCGGTAAACAATCTTAATCGATAGAAAATTTCCTAACTTGCTTCGAGTTAATATCTTTGAACATTATTATAATGTTATACTTGAAACCCAAACAAGGATTTGTGCTTTCACTTGCTTTATCAGAATTATCAGGGCTTAAAATGTCAATTGTTTAATAGAATGGAAGCATTAAAAATGATTTCTAGTCCGACAGTTGGAAAATTCTCACAAAGTGATGTAGTAAATTACTTATTGCAAAATATCGGGATCTTTGATCTAGATTGGCTTAAATGTGCGTCCAATTATTAAAACTGTTTCTAATATTGCGTAAATATTGGTATATAATCTTTAATAATCGTACGTGTTTAACCACCATGGCTAAGCATACGCAAAACAAGCACTTTTGCAAATTCACTAACCAATTTGACGTGAATCTTCAAGTTCAATTAAAGAAGATTATACCGAAATGTTTTTTGAAGAGCACTATATAAATGTCTAAAAATTTGAATAAGCAACCATTTTTTAACAAAGCAAAAAAATGAAACACAAATGTTAAAAACAAAAGGATGTTACCTATCCCACCTCTACTTTGATGATACGGAAGAACCGCAACTTTTGAAAAATCTGAAACAGAATGTCTTAACGCTGAAAAGCGTACTATCGGCGCTTACCTGCATGGAATGCAAAGCTGCCATTTTTTGGGCGATTTGAACCGACAGTCTTGGGTCAGCTAGTTCTGTATTGAGAAGTGGACGTGCATTTATGTATTGTTCCAAACGGCCTCCGGGAAAAACTCCATGAAGTTTCGGACCCAAACCTGAAAAAAAATCATTTTTTATTAATTCACGTATAAAAAACTAACGTATAGAAACGCAAACTAAACCCAAAGTACAAAACTGAACCCAAGAAACAAATTTAAGATTCGAGTTTCCAACATGAAAATGAGTGCTCATCATGTGATGACAATGTTGTCTACCTTGTTCCCCAATAAGTAAATTTCATTTAAGCTTCATTAAGACAGATTCCATTTTTTTTAACGGTTAAAACTTACCAAAATACGAAAATTCAAACCCTCTTGAGAAAATATGATTATGAGGAATTGTGTTACAGCTAAATAAATTATGTGATGCATAAAGTCAAAGCTTCATCACTAGATAGTTTTAAACTGCAAATTGCTTCGCAAAAAGCAATGTAGTGTGGCAGCAAAATGTTTGCCTCATATCGTCTAAAACACGGTTCAAAATGGAAATTTAAAAAATATTTCGACATAATTGATTGTGAGAGTTTAAATGTTAAACTTTAATAAAGCTATAATAAAGCAACTGAAACTTTAAAATATACAAAATTATTTGGTAAATGCAACAAGCATATTTCCGGGAATAGCTTTCGAATAATATGCAAATTTACTTCCGCATGCTCTGGATATTTGCGTTCAAAGATGAAAAAAATTTCAGAAGTAAGCAAAAATTGTAAAATTTTCACGCCAAACTGAAAGAATTCTATTACAATTTTTTTGCAATTATCAGCTTAAGATAGCGTTTACAGTAAAATAAAAATTAAACTCAAGAGTGAATTTGTTAAAAGTTGATAATGTTAAAATCTACAACATTATCTCATAAATTGCATGATACATTTCTTCAGCTCAATGGCTATTTGTAGGTCTTAAAAATCTTAAGGAATGAAATAGAACATAAATTGTAAATTGTAAAGTAATTCACTTGATACTACTAAAATCTACAGAATTTTTATCTTAAATGCAAATTAAATAATTTTACAGGAAAATATTTATTCTAATTTCAAAGCAAAATGTAAATGGCAAAAAAACTGTTCTAATGTGTTCCTCTAATCTACCTATCTGTAATTCGTTTTTGTAAAGCTAATGTCGGTTAAACAGTTTGAGTCTTAAAAAATAATTAACAGATTTTTAATTCCAAATACCTACGTCGTAGATCGGCTTTTTGAAAAAAAAATATAGGTATATCAGTGCTGTGATTTAAAAACTAGTAGCAGAAGTAGTAGAAATCTTGATTTCTTACAGAAATCGCTATCGACCTATATCGGTCCCTTAATATCTATTTTATAATTAAATTTGATTTGGATAAAGTAACACTACACTAAACTAGATTAAGTGAGTTTATCAGAACAGTTTACGCACACCTAATAAAATGTAAAAAATTTGAACCTTTAAGGAACCAAGCACTTAAACAATTACGTTTTACTTGTAAATTTTATTGTCACTAATTGTCTATTTTCAGTCGGATGTTAATAATTCGCAACAAACAATTTTTAGTGTTAATTTAATAAGCGCCCATAGGTTGTTTAATTTTATTTGAAAAAATATATGCCAAATAATACACTCTAATTGGGCATTCAAACAAATTGCAAAGTGATAAACAATGGCAATTACTAGCCATGCTAAGGAATCCGAGTGATAGTGATAAGAGTTACTTAATGGACCTTAACTATTTCGTACCGGAAAACGGCAATTTCAGTGCAACAGTTTAATTCGATTTTGATAAGCAATTGTATTTTCAACCAAATCGTATGATGTCTTGTCTATGGGATATTTTTAAATTCAATCACCCCATACCATGTCGTGTGAAACTATTTTTAGAGATAATCCGATATCTCATGTGTGCACTTACAAGGCATTTTTTAAATGTAAAAGTGCGATATGTTTGAAAAGATAATCGTTTATATAATGAAGCATGCAATTTGCCGTGAACACGTATCGTATTTAAGAGCGATAATATAATATCAGATACTTGCCTCTTTCACTCAATAACGTGAAAATAACACTTTCAGTGATTAAGGCCTCAAGTGCACCTTCTCCATGAGTTTGCCCATAAATTCGAATAAGCACGTCTTTAGGCTCCTGACTTACAGTTTTCTTATTGTCTTCATACGAATCGTAAAAGTCGATCGGTAAGGAAACGTGGTACAAATGATTTGAGAGTCCACCACTGCAAAAAAATAAAATAATGAGTATGTTAATAGCTAATAAATATTATTATTTAAATTGCGGAATGTCTGAAATTCGCTCCCAATTTTTTAGCGATTTTATAGAAAAAAATCTAAAGTGAAATTAATTTCTCCTGCCTAAGGAGCAGCTACAAAAGAGCTTGGACCTTACCTAAATTTTGTCTTTATCAGTCCGAAGTTTAAATAAATGCTGTCCTTTATATATGTTTTATTATATTTTTTGAATCTTGTTAATAAGTTAAACTCAGAGATTCACAAAAAAATTAAATCTGCCTTGCTTGCATTATAAACCGGTCCCAAAGCATGTAAAGCTCCTTTTCCTAAGTTTTTGCAAAACGAATCGGTTTAGTTAAAAATAAAGATATGAAAAGCAACGAAAGTGTAATGAAAACCAACCAGCGATCTGCAATCGACAAATTTGATTCCTTAATACTGCTCAGTTCTGGAAACTTGGAGAATTATAAATTAAAAGCTTTCATGAAAATTATCAATCATTTTTAAACACGAGCGATCTTACCCTAGAAAAGATCAAAAGTTATGTGTGACTAAGCGATTAACAAACCGAATCGAATAACAATTATTTGATATCCCTCATAGCAACAAACGTTGGGAAAACAATATTCTGCTGCTCTAAGAGTGATTTTGAGTTGAAAAAATGTATGTTAAAAAACGCATTCAGTTACCAAACTAGGATTTAAACCCTCAGAACGACTAAATGCTCCTTTTCAGTGTTATTTTGTTAATAATTTGCAGCTAGAATTAAATTGCAATAAAAAATAAATAATTTACCAGCATTTGTAATTCCTAACATAATAACAATCATTCTTTATTTAAGTATGTTGTTTTCAGTAATATTGCAAACTTCAGTATCTACTAAATGCCGTATTATTACGAACATGCAAACAAAATAAATGAGAAAGTTAAAAATAATATTGCCAAAACATATTGCAATCCAGGCATAATATGGCTTTATAGTAGTAGTAAAGAGTAGGTAACATGCACATATTAATGTGTATCGCATGTCTCCATTTCAGGGCTATAACAGTAAATCGCGATAAACTGAAAAAAAAACTCTATAAGCTAAAGAATAAATATTACATGTAAAACGGAATACAATTCACATTAAACGTCCCTAGCAAATGAAAACCTTCAAGATACTGGTTAACAAGTTTAAATTGATTTTAGTTTGATGTATTTTATTTTATTTGATTTTAACTATTTAAACTTTTTAATGACAGCTTCATTGTCTAGAATAGTTTCTCCGGGTATTTTCCGGTGAAAGTTCAGACGTATTTTTTAACGCGTCTAGGTACTGACTATTGAAAGAAACTAAAATAAAGTATTTCTATGCATGATTTTTTTTTACTTTAATTTATCTTTTATAATTTGTACCTTGTTTCCACAATATGTTTTTTTATAATTTTGTGCTCTTGGCTTAGAATTATTTGAGTTTCAGTAAGAACTCGTTTAATTCAATAGTAACTTGTTGCGTAGATCTTCATTTTCTCGTCGAAGCGTCTAACATAGAAGATGTGGTTACTTTGAAGAGTACTTGAGCGTATAAATGAAAGAATAGAAAAAGTTGGTACATATATTTATGGCAAAGATCTCGCAATAAATGTTAAAAATTTTGGTAAAGGATGTGACAAGAAAATATTTGTTATTGCTGATTTTATTAACCGAATTTTCAATCAGCACTTAGACGTACATTTGACTAATTCCTATATATAAAACTTGTGATTAAATTTGCTCACGAATAAAATCGATCAATCGAATTAAATTGATTTTTCAAGTTAAGTAAAGGTGAATCAACATTGTAATGAATTGTGACAAACTATTTGATGTGCAAACATAAACCAAAATGATCTGAAAAATGAAAGTTCAAATTTCTGAGTTTCTCACATATTAAACCCAAACCCAAATGTAAGTCAAGACATACTCAGATTCGCTTTAAAAATGTAATATTGAGTTAAAAAACCATCAATATTTGAGTGCGTTTTATTAGAAAATAAACTAACAAAAAATCATAATAGCCATGTAGTCGCTCAAAACTCGCGAGCTCAATATATAATTATTGTATAAATTGTGGACTTTGTTTAATAAAACAGCAATATAAAATTTAGAAAATGACTTTCTGATTAATCGCGTAGTTAATCCAGCCATTTAGTGTTGAACTGACAATTACAGGTAAAGTAATAACGTAAATCATTAGGAAATTGGCTAATAGATTTCTACTACTTATGAATCACACTACTTGTGTTTCTGGTTAATCATGTTTCTGGATATGCTTGTGATTATTTATTTAGATAAACAAGCTGCTTACTGAAGCCGTGAAAACAATATAGATAAGAGCTGACTGCAAGTGCATTTAATCGGGTAGAGTGAGTGTAGACAAAACACTGCACATAGCACAAGTTTTAAATTTATATGGGACTGAATACGCTGTAAATAGATTAGTAAGCAAGGTCTTGAAAATATTGTTTGAACGGCAATTTAAAACCAAAGTCCAAAAATACATAAATTGATGAGCAACGAGAAAATAAAATTGAAAGGCTATTTTTGCAACAATCAATATCTCGGCAGCCCGTTGATTTCCGAATAACCATACGGTTGCTCTTCGCTGTGCTAGATGAAAAACATATTTATCAATAATTATCAATAACTTTTCTAAATATTTACAGATTTAGTATTTATTTTCCTGCATTCTTCATTGTTTACAACCTTATTCGGCAAGGTTAAACACGCAAATGGACATATTTATGGAAACCTTTAATGTTTACTAATACGTACTACTAATGCGTAATTTAATGTTTCTTTAATAATTATTGTCTTTGCTATTGTTTAATGGCTAGAACTTCTGCGAAATTCGTCTAGTCTATGTATTTTCTAAGAAATATTATATGACAAAGCAAGTAAATTAATTTCTTCTTCATTCATCATTCCCATTAGGAACCTCATCCATTCTTAAGATAAACCGAAAACATATGTCCCAAAAGTATAAAATATCCTGACTTATCGAAATCAATATAGAATACAAAGTACATAATACAATCAGAAATTCCATGTCACCACGATTATTAAAATCCTTCGTTATCAGCTTTATGGCCTGTTTATTCCCAAAATCTAGCCCAGACTTTGGTACAACGTTAATTAATATAGGGATAAAGCGTGTAATCCCTTCTAAAAAGCGTCTAATCCATGCCTGTATTATATTTTGTTAGCCGTAACGATATCATCGTTATCGGTTAAAACAAGCAGCTTATGTGTTTTGTATTTTTTATAGGCTGAAGGTTACACCACTAATAATCCACAACAAATTGTCGGTAAAACGATTAAACTAAAGTTGCGAAACCAAGGCTATTCCCCATAAGTCAAGGCATTTGGGTAACCTTGGAAAAGTAGGATAATTTTCATAGTTGTGTGCATGCACTTTAGGAAACTGAAGTTGGATGTGAACGTTTATACCAAAAAGAAAAAGAAAACGATTCAGTTTCAAGCATCAAACAAAATTATTATGTTGTAAGAAAAATGCACATTCAGACAAGTGAAACTTACAGAAATCAATGAACTCATATGTGTTTAGTTTATATAGTTTATGTTTAGTATATATATATTAGTTTAGTTTAGTTTTGCACTTGATTTTTGTATATAAATATATTATAAGTTCAAGAACTTTTAACCACTTTGTTTAAATTACTTTCTACGTGTCAGCACTTGTTTGATCATTAGGTAAATCTAACAAATTTTTTCAATGAGAATTAACGTATCATTATTCTAAGCAGCCGCACGTAATCATTAATACACGGAATTTACATTCTTAAAAATATAAGAACATGGTCAGTAACAATTGCCAAAGTAAGAAAACTTATCAGTTGCATTTCCTGTTAAAAATGCAGAATGATTATCTAAATTGGGGTCACTCCTACTTAAAGAGCATGAGATAAGCATATGTAATTCTATCATTCTCAATGTGCATTGTTTAAATGCTTCAATGTTTTATCAGTCTAAACCACAACGATGTTTATAAATCAATACAGAAATTAGTAATCATCATCATCATTAGACTGGCGATACTGTTTTCAGATTTATTTAGTTCCAAAGTATCTTAATTAACCCCAAGATTCATTTTGTACAACTTTTCATTTCATTCACTATTCATTTTAAACAACAATTTTCGAAAGTAGATTTAATTTGATTATTATCCACAAAAACAAAGTGCCTAAAAACAATATTTAAGTGTTTCGGAAAGACATATAAATTGCGAAATAGGGTAAGCTGTAGAAAATTTATTGATCATTTCAAAAATTCATTTAAGTTTATGTGCTTTTGAGTAATTTTCAGATAATCTAAACCAACTTTTTTAAAAAGTGCAAAAATTTAATTATTTTTGGCAATCAAAATATCGGATATTTGCTTGTACTTTCAGGTACAGATAACAAATAGATGTGTATATTGTGTTTAAAAAGAGAAACAAAATGTTCCTTCCGGATTTAAAAATAAGGTGTATTAGTTGCCTCTAATTGCACCTAAAACTACATATGGAGCTCATATAGAGCTTAAATCCATAATTTCTCGGTTTTGTTCTCAGAACATTTTTGACCGTTTTCCATCTTAAAATTCGAAGTGAAATGAAGCTTTTCCTAAAGTTTTGGGTAGCTTGACCGATTCAAAAACGAAGAAAAGAGTAACAGCAAATTAAAAATCCATCATTTATGTATATCAATAAATGCTATCAGCTTTAAACCATGGAAAATCCGGTACGGTAAATAACAAAACGGTTGCAAATTAAGCAACATTTTAATTAAAGTAATCTTTTTAAGTAGACCCACTTAGGTTTGTTTGAAGTGGATCACTCAAACCTTAAAGTCAGCCTGTTCACTAATTGTTTTTGTTACTACCTGAGACTTATATTTTATTTTAATGGCCTTTGACTTTTAAGTTTGGAACCGTGAAATGTGATCAGTTGCGATTCTGCGAAAATTCTTCCAACCAAAATTTTTCACCGGATTTCGAGTTACAGCTATAAACAGGTTTCAAGAAAGATGAAATAGAATGAATGGAAAATAAGAGCTAAAAAAGGTAGTCTCTTCTTTTGCAAATAAAAGAATGAAAAATCTACAAAAATTTAAGAATTGAGTTTTTTAACAGGACAAATTTTATGCAGTGTTCAAATGGTGATGCGTTAGTCGCAACTGCGTAATTAAATAATACGTTCCTCAAATAGTCTTTTAAAAAATATATTCGAAATAGAGGTATTGTTTAATACCTTAACTAGAGACTAAGAGTGATTTTGCCTATATATAATACAAAAGAAGAACTCGGACGTTTTGCTTGGAGCTCTATTTATATGTTGCTTAATAAATATATAAAATATTTTGAGAGCTAGATTTTTTCTAATGCAAGCAAGTAATGTAACTAATGTATGCAAGTAGAAATATTTAATTTGGTTCGGGATAAAACACATAAATGCATTTTCATTTTGTACTTATCATTTCAAGACCGTTCAAAAGTTCCATTTTCTGCTTATTTTTCCTTGTTACTCAGTTTTTGCAAATGTACACGATTATATTAGAAATCAGCCGGCAATCCAGAGAAATATATTATTTATATATTATATTTAAAACACAAAATAGAGCCTTTGAACAGAGGATTTAGAAATAAATCATAGTTTAAAATACGATTTTACCAAATTGAGTTCTTAATAATTAGTGCCAATATTTAATTAAAAAATTTCATCATTAAATTAAGTACTGACTAATATTTAGAAAAGGTTCATCCGTTTTATTTTGCAAGAAAATATGAATATTTTAGAATGTTTTATAGACTCCAAAAAAGTTATAAAATCACTAAAAGCTACAAATGGATTTCTTTAGTTTTATAATTTATACGATAGATTATAGATTTGTTAAATCAGTTGAACAAGAAACACACATTGTGTCCAGAATAAGATTGTCTATTGTAGAATCTCAAAACCCTCGAAAATGGAAGAAAAGTTACGGATTTATTCACCTTAGGTCTGATGATCCAAAAAGTTTCGTTTGGTCCTAAGGCTATGTGAGTACAGCTGAATCTTGACGATTTTGTTACTGGCAAATTGGTCGCAAATGAAATTATAGGTACTCTCTATAAGACGTTTTTCTTTAGAAATACCTTAGATTCTTAAATGCTTGATTGCAATTTCCAATAGCTGATAGCTCTCAAATCTTAATCGTACATTATATTTTGTAATGTGTTTGTTTTGAAAGTGAAAAACTTTCAACTTTATCTTATCAAATTCAAATTATCTTAAGAAGGAACGCCTGTAAAGGCAAAGAGACAAAAATATTTGCAGACATAAATAATTGTTAAAAGTTTAATCTGCATAAAAGTGGTACATGATTCAAATTCCTCGACCTAAAAAGATCCTGATACGAGCTCATTTAACGTTACTTTGACGCCCTGTATTTTGAACCTCGTTTCTTTTGAATTGCTACTAAATTACATACTTTTAAATCAGTTATATTCTTAAGTACGTCCTGTGAGATTAAAACTTATGCCGATGATACAGAATAGTTTTTTGATTTTGATCCTGCTGTGGAGATCTTTGATCTGGACTAGTCAATTGTTCTCAAATTTTCAAGAAAACACAACTTAAAAATTTCAGACGGAAAAGTTGCCGCTTTTCCGCCCGGAAGGCAAAAGTAACGGTCTAAGAAATTATATCAACATAAAAATTGAACATGCATTTTTAACTTAATTTAGAGAACGGAACGCATTTCTATCCTTTAAACTTTCAATTCAGTAAAAAATTATGTGAATCCAAATACCATCCAAATCCATTTTTGCAGGTTGCAAATGGAAATACCATTCAAAATGATCAGAATAGCTACAGGTATTTATATAAAATTTTGAAGAAGTAGACATGTTTTTCTGCGAGTATTAAAGCATTCAAGACGCAAATGTGACCATAATTTACTATGGCTATGACTTATTTTCACGAAGATAAAGAAGGAACCCGTTTATCTGTATCAAAAACTTGCTTTTAGTGAAACAGTGCATAGTCGTAAGTTAAGAGATAAGAACGTTTTAACAATGCCACATTATGGAACAGAATCGTTTCTCAAACGTTTGATCCAATAAGCAACACGCAAAAAAGATTTTAAAAGAAAAAAGAAAAAAGTTAATATAATAGTAAATCCTTGACATTCGTAGTAAGTAGACGAAATTGGTTGTTTCCTCAGTGGGAATTGATGAATAATTGAAGGTGTTTCATTATAGTGCAAATGTAAAACCGCTTAACTAACTATAACATGATGATGATGATGATGATGATGATAATAACAAATTAAAGGTTCCGAACTTAAATACTGCTGGACATTTTTTTTCAAACAGAACATTTGATATTTTATTCACCCTATGTAAACCTTGAGATTCTGGAAAACGAGTTGTCCCGCCAATGTACTAGGATATATTTTTCCCCGATTAAGAGTGGATTTATAGATAATTTTAACTTCTTAAGCACATCATCTTAATGTATACCGTTTTGAATAAAATCTAGCTTACATCCATTTAGTGGTTGTACGAAAGTGTTAAAAGAGAAAGGAAATGTTTGCTTATTTTATAAGATAAGTACAGTTGGCTGCCAACGAAAGCTTCAAGATTTACTCGCTGATTTCGTCTTGGGTGTTGAGTGTCGATTTTTTAAATTCCTGTTTTTAATACCAGGTCTGAGTTCAAAAAATAAAGGAGCTGAGGACAAATGGACGCCTTATAGAAGACAGATTAGATAGAAAATTGTATTTGCTCACCTAATATGTTTGAAGCCGATACTTTGAGCAGTTACTTTTTTCCAGGCTCCGTGAAGATAGTCTCTACACAGTCGAGCAGCCACTTCTCTCATTTCGATGGTATCACCATGGATCTGTTTGGAAAAATTAGTTGAAAACATAGTCCTCCACATAATATTAGGAATTCTGCGCATTTTAACGGCAGCAAAATTAATTAAATCAAACTTTTTTGTATTGAAAAGGGCACGTCCGTGTATTTCACAGCAGGTCTGAACCGGGGTCAATAATTTCACGCAATCGCTCGCAACAGGGGTGCAACACAAAACCGCAATAATTTCCAATCTGCTGTGAAAGATTCCAGCAATGCCATTCAAATTCATATACATAAAGAACTCACCTTTTTATTTCCACTTTTCAGCATTTTTCAAGATTGAGGAAGACCGCGTATATACGAAAATAAAATAAATCTATCAGTATTAGGGAACTACTGAGCAGACCGAAGTAGCAAACCGCAAACGGAAAAGTAAAAGAAAATGTCGCTAATCTTGTACGAAAAAACGTTCTATAATTGCCAGAATCACACTGGGGAGTGTAAGGCCAATGTCTTCCTTTTATATTTATGCAAAAGTCCTAATTAAACAGTTCAGTTTGCATAAGATACGACAAACTCCACGATATTCACAACCGATCTCGAACGAAGTACATAAGCCAATGAAATTACTGTTGGGTACCTAAACTGGTTTGGAACACCACATGGAATACTCAGCCCACCAATCCTGACGTCGAACAGTGGGAGAACTCTCACAATTAATGGCCAAGATTTTGGCCTGATTTCAGAAATATCGTCCAGTCTCGATAGTCATTATTCGAAAGACGGTGGTCGGCAAAAACGTTATGTAGCGCCGTGAGAAAAAATTCTTACGGAATGAATTTTACTTATGAAATAAATATCAATTAATTTAAAAAAATAAACGGAATGGTCCTGTTCTCAGTGGCGGCGCCAGCTTTATTTTCCGCTTGGGCGAAAGCCGGTGAAAAAATTTTCAAGATGGGCAAGATATATTTATCTTTTTAATTGTAAGAGTTGGATATAATATATCTCTTTTACCAAATATTTTGCTTTCTTCTTGGGCCGAATACAATGTGAAATATTATTTAGTTATTTTTAGTTATATTAACTTACAAGCGTTGCAAAGATTCTTTTTTAGTAAGAACTTCTAACGACATGTTAAGCAAGGAGCTAACAGAGTCTGACAATACCTTGAGTGTCCCAATATGAATTTACAATGCAGATATTATTTTCATGTTCAATTAAACGCTTTAACGTTTTAATTAAAGAAGCTGGGTTATTTCCATTACCTAGCACTTAACGACGTTTCTTTTAAGAATCATACAGCCCTTTTATTTAAACGGGCGCCTGTTTATCAATAATCTTGTATCAAAAAAGTGGAATTCCTAGGAATAATTTTAAGAAATAGCCCTTTGATTTATTGCAATAAACACTCCATTTCATTGAAAGATTTAAGTTAAATATGATGGTTTCAAATTCCAAATTTTCACATATCCCTAAACAAATCGGAGAAATAATTCATCGCGAACGATTTATCAAAAAGTAACTGCCATTTTGCATCGCCACGAATTAAGTTACGATTTACAGGAAGGTTGCAAATGTTATTACCGGAATAACAACCAAAAATCAATCAAATATTTGTATTAGCACTGAAGACTGCGTCCTTAGTAAGATCGCATCTTTATAGTCAAATCTATAGGAGTTCTTGTGCCTTTCCCACTTTTTTGGATCAACTTAATGTGTAGCGTACTTTTATTAAATCTCCGCATAGTTTACTTTTAAGGCTGTGTTTAATCAGAAATTTCAACAAATCTATACTGTGGTAAAAAGCGTTTAGTGTGATAGCTTGTGAAGCAAGCCTTAAAAGATTGTTAAGGTTTTTTATCATCGGGCTAAATGGAGAGCTGCTCTGCTTTATTTTCCGCATTTTTCTAAATTAGGAAAACTAGAAATTTTATGTATGCACATTTTGAAACAACTACATAAAATGTGTATTCATATGTTTATCATGAGCCTATTTTCTGGGAATCTATAATCTATATCAAACTTGGCACAGATTTGGAGTTCCGACCGCTCCTTAATACTACTAATGAACGTTCAATACGAAAAGGAATTTGCTTTTATTTTAAATTTCGATAACGATTGAAAATAAGTGATTAGAAAAAAGAACAGTTTCTAGGTTTATGTAATTTTTATAAGTGCTCGCATAAAACTGGAAAACTTTGCTCCAAATATTTCCTAGATACGAGCGGATCGGAGGACAGAACCTAAATTTGAAGAAAGAATTATGTCAAATGATGTTTAAATTCGTCATACTTACGTGAAAATAGAAAATTTATGGTTAGCCACAGCGACGCTTTTTAAAACTGTCTGTTTTGCGTCTTTTAACCAAGTTATTTTGCAAAAAAATCCCAATGTCGAATATTGAAGAAGTACTTCTTGGAAATATTCAATCAGCCCTTATAACCATTGAGATTTCCCATCTGAGCGAATAGGGTTTCCCCAAATATTTTTAAGGATTAAAACGTTAGAAGCGAATATTTTTAACGAGCCGCTGATGGCGAAAACCGTTTACCTCAATATCATTGAAATTATCTGATAAATTGCTGGAATTTTTGTATCCGTAAAAAAACAAAAAAAAACATATCTAGGGAAATATTCGAAATATAACTACCCAAGAATCATTTTTTCAATCACTTCATTTTATTAAAAAATGAACAAGTCAACTAATGATAAAAACAAGGTCCAATAGTATCAATGGAAAAGGTGGGTATGGAAATATTTATTATCATGAACCACAGCTTATCAATAATGGTGGCTTATTAATAAATCGTATCCATGTATTTTATCAAGGCATATAATCATGTTTATATCAATGCATTTGCTTTATTACCATTAATTAACAACGTTAGCTTCCACCTAGTCTCTTAATAAAATATGTTATTTATTGCTTCTCTTCTAAGCGCATAGCAAAATTTCGGGTTTTACTCAAACGACTATATTTGCACCCACTGTGGTACTACCTGAAGAGTAAGACACCTGATAAACCTTTCGTATTAGTTTCACGTTTACTACATGTATCTTTATCTATTCCATTGAACGCATCTATGCTATAAAACATTGTTACAATGAATCATCATCGTACAAGCCACTCCTCAAATATATATAGACCTAGACGGTCACAATCGCGAATCAGGCGAGACATACTCGTGTGCTCCAGATTGGAACTTTGCCACATTAAGCAATTATTGCACAAATGCTGGGAGGTAATAACTATTTTCTTATCGCCTTAATGCAAAATACTTTTCATGTTGGTCACTTTTCAAGATGCGAATTGTCTGATTTTGCATAAACTTTTACAAATATTATAAAAGAAAAAATGGACTTATAGAACGGTAGAATATGTTGTTAACTGTTAAAACAGCAATGCTTCAGTCCACTATGTGGTTCACCTTAAAATAACACTTAAAACGCATCATTTGAATGTATGAATAATACAAAAGGCAAAATTGCATTTAATCAACATTAAAAAATATTATCACGTCTTTTAGCGGAATAAAACATAAAATTTGTGATCTAATTTCTATACATAACTTCCGAAAATTTGCTTCAATATTGACAATTTGGCTCTTACCGTTAGCCAAAGACAGCCGAAAATAAATTACCGTCCTGAACATTCCCTGAAATTATAAATCGGCAATAGTTAACAACCGGAGCTGATCTTATCAAATAAACTACCTGCAAGATGCACCATCGAGGTCAAACCAAACACACAATTATTTTCGAAATTTGTATTTCATTTTCATTAACTATAATAATTTAAAAATACAGCGATCGAACAAAACAAAAACAAGTATGGTAGACAAAACAAAAACAACCTTAGCAGTCTAATATTTTGTTGTTTATTTACGTAATCGAGTGTATTGTTCATAGCTATGTATATTTCTTCTTCTCTTAGAGATTCTCCAGGTTAAAACAGAGAACGTTTCCAAAGTATCAGAAATGTGAAAACGCGGCAAAAGAAAAAGAAAAATAAATTTGCAACGAACCAATCACCGTCCTATGCAATAACCTTTACAATCTCCTTAAATATAGTATTTTTACAGAGTATTTTTTATAAATTATCATTATTTATATTTCTTTAAAATTCTATCGCCTCTTCGACTGACTAGAATAGAAATTCAAGTACTTAAAAAAATACTTGGCTTTTATATAGACTAGAAATATTTCAAATTCACGGTCTCTCTCTCAAAAATCAACAAAAGGCATTCTCACAACGCTTTGGAACTTGGCAACATTAAGCAATACAAATTTCTGCAACATCTCTGCTAATTATTTAACTTGTAATCCACAATAAGGAAAACAATATTCGATGTAAAACATTAAAGCACGTCCATTCTTTAGCAACTAACATAAACATTTGGTTCCCCATTATTGTTGCCAAATATCCCACACAATCACAACGTTTAAATCACAAAAATAAAATTTACATATCCGATTTTAATATTAAAATGAACAAATGGCTTCCTACAACTCGTGTTTAGTCATCCCTTGTTTTGGTAGTTCACTGAATGTTTCTAATACGTGACTAAACCAGACCAAACATTTAGAGTTACATGAATGCACTTTCCTAAAACGCAAAGTTGGAGATGAAACTAAAAGAAATGGAAACTCCAAACCATGTTCCTCGAATAGGAGTGTGAATTGAAATTTTCTTAAAGAACGTTGAAATGAAATGTTTTCACAAAAATTATCAGCCCAATGATCTGGCAGATCTAATTGGTGTGAAAAGAATCAAATTGGAAATTAAGTTTTTATTTAAATGAGGGAATAGCAGGAAAACTGGTTGGGTTTCGTACTATACGTCTTTCGCAACTTACAAGCAAAATATCTACCGTTTGAGTGCTTTTCTAACTACTGTAACCGTATGTTATTACTATTAACAAACATATTTCTGTCATTCATTCAATGATTAAAGCTAAAAGCCTAATAGAGGAAAAGCACAGTAATTTCTGCCAATATATCGAAGCTATACAAGTAGCTTTTTAGATATTAAGGATTGATGAAAATTGAATAAATGCCAGAAATATTTAACATATGTGTATGCAATATCTGTAATTTAGATGAAGATACAACTATATACAATGATGGACTAAGCTCTCTGAGATTCTAAAGCTTTTAATCAAATATTTGCATAATAAAACAGCCGTCTGTATTAGAAATAGAATAGAAATCCATTTTCCGAGTTAACGTATTCAAAATTGCTTTTATCATGCGATATTCAAATGAAATTACCATCATTATATAACTCTTCTATAGGCATTAGATAACAATAATTTATTTTCCTAAACCCTCTCCGTTTATGTCAATTTCGATTTTTTTATAAAGATCTACCAGTACTTCCGGATTCCTAAAAGCGAGTCAAAATCTGAAATTTTTAAATTCATTTGAAATTGCTCATTTTAATTTCAATTAATAATCTCGGAAATTACACGTTATAAAACAAATGTGTTTTAATTATCCAATTTTAAAGTTAATAGTTTACAACTGATGAACTAGAATAAATCACTTAAAGTTGCAAAGCAGTTTACATTCAGTAAATTTAGTGATTCGAAAGGTTAATTAATAACAGACATGGCACAACAAGCCCAAAGTACCTTCAAGACAGACTGTGAAAACTCTTGGAGGAATAAAAAGCGCTTAAGGCCGACCTAAAGGTATAAGTAGAATAAAAACTGAAATAGTTTATTAGGCATTTACACGAAATAAAATACCAAACATTTCAGGTAAATATTTTAGTATGAAATTTCAACATAATCATTCGGGTAGATAATCCTCAAACTTGCCAAAAAATATTAATTGTGGCCAGACGTAAAGTGTCTCCGCTCTAACTTTTATGATCACGGTTTATAACAAACCACTTTGCAATGGTTCCACTACGTTACAGGTCGAAATCGCCTGCATCTGACCTGAGATTCTGCAGGAGGTTCTCCTCCAGGCGGCGGAGGTGGCGGTCCCTCGGATGACTCAGGGCTGCTTTCCGGTGCATCAATTAGGCAATTAGAAATCCCTCTTGCCCTCAGACCTGCAATAAATCATTTGCGTCGAATAAAAATCGGCATGTTCATAAACAGTTGTTCGAAAACTCTTTGTTCGGATTCAGTACAAAGTAAAATAAACGTTTTACTGCAGAGGCAAATCTGGGTATCAGCATGGGAAAAATTTGTTTAGAATTCGAAAAAAAACATTTTCGAACATGGCTATTATACCTGAAGCGGGAGTAAATCCAAAATAAGACGGCACGCAACTTTGGAAAGGGATCAAAAGTGGAAACTTTGAATTGGGAACGACCTGGAAGTAAAGGATGGGACTAATATGAATCATTTAGAGGTGCAGATAAAGAATTAAGTACTTACGTTATGCTAAATTTTAGTTAGTAAGTTAAATTTAAAAATCGAACGAAAAACTTGCTAGAATCGCCTAGTTTCGCTCGTACAGATAAGCTACTCTTGCAAAAAAAGTAGTGAATAGTATCTTGGTCATTTGGTCAGAGGGTGTAGTGATTAGAAAGCATAGTTTGCCAAAAGTTAGTTTAAAACGGTATTAAAATCAAGAGCTCGAAGCGCCGAGAGGAGTAACATACTAAGTAAGTAAGTAAGTAGTCGTGATATAATTGGATTATAATAGTACTTGGTATTAACAATATTTTACATACTTTATCAAAAGACAACAAAATAAGTTGCCAACATTTTTAAATCACCAAAAATGTATTGTCTGTATGATCTTCTTTAAGAAATTTATCACAACAAACGACGAGTATACGGTTTCATAATGTGTTGTCGATATTATTATTTGCGAGTAGAATATTTGCGTTAGATACAAAATTATTGCCGATCTAACGGCTGCAAATAAAAATTTACTATGAAACTGGTGAGTTTTTCGGGTTTTTACTACCCAGATAGCATTTGATATTCTATGAATATCCCA